ATCACTGTACACTTGAAGTACACACACACACACACACACACACACACACACACACACACAAGGGGAAGAGAGAGGGAAGAGGGATAGAGAGAGAGCGAGAGCAAAGCTGCATTCCTGTGAAACCTGAAATACTTTGGAGCGGTTGGCTCACAGACCTTTCAGCTCACCTCCCATCCCAGGAGCCTTTTTACAAGGCTGCCCCAGTGACAATGACCGCCCTGCTTCTCAGCGGGGACGATTCCAGAGAAAGAGGAAGACAGTTCCTTCTCGAAGCTGGAAGTTTGTCACTTCCAGCACATTCTAACTGTCAGAACAAGTCACTAATCAGTACAGCTTTTACTCAAGTGAGGGGTTTGAGGCCCCTCCTTTGGAAGGGAAGAAGAGTATCAAAAAATTTGTGGGCATATTTTTGAACCACCATAGTTTCCAATGGTGCTTAGTGAGGTCCATTGGTTCCTATAGTCTCTTACTTTCCCTCAATTCTTCTTTCTTTCTGAGACAGGTCTCATACAGTCCAGGTTGATCTTGAATTTGCTATGTAACTGAGTTCCTGGCCCTCCGGCCCCTACCTTCAAAATGCTGGGATTGCAGGCACAGGTCACCACAGTAGCCTAGGCAGCTGCAGCATCAAATCTAATGCTGAGCTGTCTCGTTGGGCCTCGTTCTGTTTCCTCATACTTGGAGCTGGGCACAGTTGTGATCAGGAACACAAGGGACCCAATCCCACCTGGGAATCTTACAGGTGTGTTCTATACCCAGCATTCCTTTCTCTGTGGCCTGAGATCTCCCCGGAGATCTCTGTCCCTCTCACTGACCTCCGCGGGTCCCTGTGAGAGAGCAGTTGACAGACAGCTAAAGTTGCAGCCCCTTCAGGCTCTGCAGCAGGGACCACTGACTTCTTGGGGAGCCTCCAGCTATTGACAGAACAATTGGGTCACTAGAGCAGGGCTGACTGGGTCCAAGTGGGGCTCCTCCCCAGGAAATCACACCAGAGCTTGTTGGCTGGCTTAGACCTGCTAGCCTCCCGTCAGCTGAGTCCTTCCCTTTACCCCCCTTCCCATAGATGTCAGAGCTGAAACATGGCCTGAAGGGTTCCCGTGCCCAGTTCTACATCCTCTCCTTTTATCTTTATCCAACTATTTCCTCCAATAAATCTCTATCGCTTCTAACTCAGTCTTGGCAGTGGCTCCTGGAGGAGACAACTGAGACTGGGCTCCAGCCGCTCTCCCACCTCCAGCCTCTGTTCTCCTAGGGGAATGTGCTCCCTTCCTAGTCCCTGCCCCCCTCTGAGCTCCCCCATCCACCCACTCCTGCCCAGCTCTCAGAAGCATCTTCTCTGCAGGGTCTCATCCTGTGCCTGGCACACAGTAAATGCAATGACTTTTTGTTTCTAAGTGAATTGTATGCTCTGAAGCTGGGCACAGCCCGTCCCATTCTCAGAGTACAGAGCACACGGTGCCTTCTGGGTAAAGCTGGGGGTGCCAGCTCAGAAGGCCAGAGTGAGACGCCATTCAGGCTGGTGAAGAGGAAGATTCTGAGGTGGGGAGACTGGGTTCAGAGTGGGGTGGGGGCGGACAACAATGGAGCATCTCCAGGTCCTGGGGTGGTACACTCCCTCTATGTACCAGGTGTGGTGTGCACTTGGGAGGCCATAGCAGGTGGATCTCTGCAGGGTGCAAGCCAACAGGAGCCATTCAGTGACTTCAAGGTCGGCCTGAGATACAATTCTGAACACTCTCTCAAATAAAATAGGACAAAAGCCCCAAAGATACAAATAATAATGAGAGCTATCTAACCAACACATTGGGAAGGGCTGATAAGGGGTTCAACTACCCCTAAATTCATATTTGAGTGTTGACATGAGCTTTAGTTTTTTGGAGGGGAGGTTTCAAGACAGGGTTTCTTTACGTAGCCCTGGCTGTCCTGGAACTCACTCTATAAACAAGGCTGTCCTTGACCTCACAGAGATTTGCCTGCCTCTGCCTCCCTACTGCTGGGATTAAAGGCATGCGCCCCCACTGCCTAGTGGGTTTTAGGTTTAAATTGAAGAAGAAATGGGACAAGAGTCTACATGCCTAAGCAGTCCTGGTTGTGCAAGGAGGTCCTAAGAGGCTCTTACTTTTTGAGGCCAGTTCTCGGGCAATGATCCTTCATATCCAAGGTGCAGCCTTAGTGACAGAGATAATCGCCTTCATTTGCAGGGTGGTTTGTCCTTCAGGGATCTGCTGTTCCTGAATCTAAGGTAGCTGAAGGGTCAGGACAACAGGGCCGTGGATAGGACACTGTGAAAAGGCAACAGTGAGAAGAAGCAGGTTGCCTTCTGTGCCTTCAGCCTTGTAAGGGAATGAAACGGGAGAGGTCGCTCAAGTTTTGAGATTGCCACTCCATGAATGATCAGCACAGCTATGTGCAAAGCTAGGCAGGAGACAGGTGGGGCTGAAGACAGAGACGCTAAGCTCTCGTCCCACTTTTACTTGTTGTTACCAAGTGAGGAAGGAGTCAATGCTCTTTTAGCAAAAGCAGTCCCTAAGCGTCTGTTACAAAATGGGCCTGGAGATGTTGCTCAGTAGCAGAGAGCTTGGTGAGTGTGTGTGTCTAAGGCCCTGGGTTCTAGAGTGCTTGGTGAGTGTGTGTGTCTAAGGCCCTGGGTTCTAGAGTGCTTGGTGAGTGTGTGTGTCTAAGGCCCTGGGTTCTAGAGTGCTTGGTGAGTGTGTGTGTCTAAGGCCCTGGATTCTAGAGTGCTTGGTGAGTGTGTGTGTATAAGGCCCTGGGTTCTAGCCCTGGCACCATAAAACAGAAAGGGGTGGGGAGAGAAGAGATGGAAGCGAGGAGACCGACCGAGAGACAAATGGAAAGAGGTGGAAGGATAAAGTCAGGGAGATAGGAAGATGGGACTCGAGGAGACAGAAATGATGAGACTTAGCCCAGAGGAGACCACAGGCAGATGGGGATATGAGTGAGAAGCCAAAAGTAATAAAGTCATGGGGCTGCAGCATGGTGTGCTCACTGGTAAACTCAGCTTTCGGAAAGCTAAGGCAGGAGGAGTTCGAGTTTGGTACTAGCCTGGGCTATTTAGCAAGACCCCACCAAGAAAGAAAGGAGGAGGGGAAATGGGTGACAAGGGCAGGAGAAGAAGGACTGATTTCTTGGGCAGACATCGATTCCTTATCTCACCGATGCCGGCTGTGAATCAGGGTGATGAAGGCTCAGGGGAAAGTTTACACCTCTGTCCTATCATTTGGACCCCGCTGTTCTCTGAGGGACACCCTGATGGGACACAAGGTACAGCTCCTGTTGGCAGACTGATGCGGCCACCCAGGGGGAGTGGGGAGAGAAGCCCGGTGGTTGCCTCCCCTGAGGCCTGTGCTGCTCCGGCCTGCCTTCCTGCAGGGCCAAGACAGGAAGAGAACTCAAAGATGCTCCCGGCGGTACTTCTCCCAGCAGAGGAGGAAAACAGGGACCTAGAGAAGACCAAATTCCCCCGTGAGGCAGTACCCTGGCCAAAGTCCCACAGTCCCCGCCCCAAAGTGGATAGTTATAGACACAGTGGCCCCCAAATCTTAGGATTTGCTTTCTCTAGATAAGCTGCTTCCTGCTGCCCTGAGGCATGAGTGTTTTGGACCGCAGCAGACGCTGGATCTCCATTAAGAGTCTTGCCTAATGTCCTATAGGTAACTGCAGGGATTGCTTTGCTCATGCAGAAGTGGAGACCAAGGCTGAGAGAAGTTGACTTCTAAGGCCAGGCTCACGCCATCCCAGCTGGATCTGCCTGATTTTTCCAAAGCTGGGCTCCTGATGTGATCTGTTCTGGCCTTTCCAGGTGATGGGTGAGGAAGGGTACGGAATGTGGAAAAGGGAGCCAGGCTGGAGGTCAGGCCCTACGACAAAAGAAAATACCACAGTCATGCAAAAAATGTTTCCGCTGGGTTTGCTTGTGTCCCTGCCCGCTCCCTCTGCTGTCAGCACCTCCTCTACTCCGTACCTTCTTTCTCCACCTCTGGAGAAGGTTGGCGTGGAGGTTAGTCACACCCATCCTTCTGTCACTGTCCTCTGCTATTCCCCCCCACAGGTGGATGTTAGTTCTGCAGCCGCAAAGATGGACCACATGACCTGGTGTTCACTCCCCTGAAGCAGCACACTGAGCTCCCCTGCCCAGGACTGGCTCTGACTCTGCCAAGCTGGGATCTGATTCCTGGAGTGGTAGGAAGAGGACTGGAGAGGGGCTGGGCTAGGCCGGCCCTGATTCCCTGCTTCATGGGGCCTGAAAGCAATTTGAAATTTTTATTATCCTTATGGAGTTTCAGTTTTCCTTCCTTCCTTTCTTCCTTCCTTCCTTCCTTCCTTCCTTCCTTCCTTCCTTCCTTCCTTTCTCCCTTTCTTCCTTTCTTTTTAGTTTTTCAATACAGGGTCTCACTATGTGGTGCTGGCTGTCCCGGAATTTACTATGTAGACCAGGCAGGCCTCAGACTCAGAGATCCACCTACCTCTGCCTCTCGAGAGCTGGGATTAAAGGCATGTGCCATTACATCCAGCTGAGCTCAGTTTCTTCATCTACATAATGGGTGTAAGTACCAGCTTCCCCAGACGGTTGGAAGCTGAATGACACATTAGCTTGGGGACATGGGAAACAGTGCTGAGTATAACCCTGTCCCTAATAGAAGTCCCATGTCTCCTGGGGGACACATGATACCTTCTGAGTCCTCAGGTGACCATGCTCCTAGAATTAAAGGCATGCAAACCTGGCCCTCTGAGCCATTTTCTGTTTATCCAGGGGACCCTGTCTCTCTAATCCCCCAGCGCCAGCTCTGCTCCATGTTGTTTTCAGGTCCTCCTCTGGCTGTGGGTCCCCACTATCAGGCAGGAGTATTGGTGTTGGACCAGATCTGTGCTTCCAGGGATCCCAGGGGTCTCAGGGATCCCAGGGGTCTCAGGGGTCCCAGGGGTCTCAGGGGTCCCAGGGGTCTGGCCACTCTCTCTGGAGTATACTAACAGTCTTTTTGAGAGCCAGGACCCGGAAAGACTTGGGAACTCCCAGGGTGGGCCCCAGAGCCCCAACCTGCCCTTGCCTCTGCTACCCGCCCTGGATGAGTGAGGTACATGGCCTCTTGCCAATTTCATAGACTTGGGTGCGGCAGCCACAACTGGGTTAGGAGGACAATGGCAGGTTCTGGGGGTCTCCTCTCCTCTGGGGGGTCCCTGCACTCTCTTCTTAGTCCACAGGAGACACAGCTCCTCCTTGGCTTCTTTCCTCCATCCTCCACCCTCACAGCCCAAGGCTTTGGCTCCCACAGATGCATCCTTACAGGCTGGCCTGGGGCAGGTGACTGGACAGCACTGAGGGCAGGGAGAGTGGAGGCGTGGGCCCAGCAATGTATTTCTCAGCCAATCAGCAGCCTGCCCAGCCGGTGGATTTGGTTACAAGCCCAAGATCACCCCATGCTCCTGCCTTTCTCCTCCTCCTTCAGTTCCATTCATTGGTCCGACTGACACCCAGGGCCTGCTGGCATCCCTTCTGATCCAGACTCAGCAGCTGCCTCGTGGGTAGCCAAAGGCAAGCATCCAGGGGGTTTTGTCTGAGCAGGCTGGCCTAGGACAGAATGGGGGTTCAGGGGGTCCTTCTGGGGGTGCTGGCTTTTCTAGGGGTTGCTTCAGGAGGCTCCCTCACCCTTCACTGGGGCAGTACCTCCTGCTACTTGGTCAAGCCCATCCCTGGTAACCCTCTGGGTTCTCTGAGCTTCTTGGGCAAAGATGCCCAAGGCCTGGCACTATTCCAGGCCCTCTGGGATGCGCACTACAGGCTGAAGGTATGTATCAGGCAGGATGACTCTGAGCTCATCAGAGCTTTTGGAGTCCTCTGTACTCGTGAGCCCTCGAGGCACTCCTTCACCCACACTCCTGGACCTGAGCTGCAGAGAGCCCTGGCCACCCTGCAGAGCCAGTGGGAGGCCTGTCAGGGGTCTGAGGATAGCCCTACAGGAGCCAGGGAGAAGCGAGCCTCAGGACAGAGTGGAGCACCTGACCGAGGGCATGTTAGAAGGAGGAGAGGCTGGACCATTCCTGGCACGCTGTGGTGTGGAGTTGGGAACTCTGCAGAGAACTCCTCAGAACTGGGTGAGCCATGGGGGTGTGTATGTGGGGAGGGGGATATCTTTAGAGAAGTGACTTAGGTACTTTGAACATCAACTTTTTTTTTTAATCTGTAAAATGGGGTTGAGCATGAGTAGCTCTTCATGGGACACATAAGTGGATGTCATGGATGGGTCTTACTCAAACCCAGAGTCCTTGTGAATCACCTTCTAAGGGAGGAGGCAGGTTGGGAGGATCCCACTTTTGCTGTTCTAAACAGCCTCTACCCATGAGGTACTTCCGTGGAAAAACCTCTCAGTCCTGGGTTCAAATTGTCGTTCAGCACATTCAAACTGACACTTCTTGCAACTCCAAGTTCCTTATCTGTAAGATAAAGGGCCACTTCCCCTTCGGGACTGCTGTGAGCTTAGCTCGTGGGGAACACCCATGAAGGGCACTATTGCTGGGGCTGTGGTTGTCTGCTGTGTGTCTGCAGTGGAGGACTTGACCTGAGTAGGCCAGGGTGGCATCTTGGCCACCCAGTGCCTTGCGGTACCAGAGAAAATGTTGCACCCCTCCTGCCCGTCATTCTATTATACACACCTTCATAACTTGGAGCTTTATTTGGGTGTGAGCTTGGGAACTCTGTGAGTCAGCTCTAGTGACTTCCGAGGAAGACGCGTCCACATGCTGGAATGTGAGCTTCCTGGCATGGGGGAGGCAAAGGAGGTTGCAAGCCTGGATGGTCTTCTCGGAAAATGTTGGCACTATCCAGAGACCAGCTGCCCTGAGGCCACCCGTGGGCTGGGATGACAATTGGGCAAATTCTAACTACTATGGCCAGGTCGGCATAACTGGTGCACAGTGTCCAGGACCTTGCTCTAGTCTGTTCCCTCTTCTCTCCATGCAGGTATGTTCCACGGTCCTGACCTCTGCTGCCGGGAACACGACCAATGCCCACAAACCATCTCACCCTTGCAGTTTAACTATGGCATCCGAAACTTCCGATTCCACACCATCTCTCACTGCGACTGTGATGCCAGGTTGGCAGCAGGCAGAGAGGGCCTGGGGCTCAGAGGGCAGAGCAGAGTTACCCAGTCTTGGGTATCAGCACTAGAAATCCAGATAATTCTAAAGATCAGAAGCAGGGGTCCCTTCCTCTCCCAACCACCTTCAGTGCAGGTGGGCAAAACTGAGGCCCCCCAAAATGAATGATCATCTATAGGGTGGGCTGTAGAATGCGACAGGAGGCTCTCTGGGGTCCTGGGACCTGAATTCTGGTTCTGGGGGCAGGTTTCATCAATGCTTGAGGAACCAGAGTGACTCCATCTCTGACATCATGGGCGTGGCCTTCTTCAACGTGCTGGAGATCCCATGCTTTGTGCTGAAGGAGCAGGAGGCCTGTGTGGAGTGGCACTGGTGGGGCGGGTGCGTGTGGCGTGGCACTGGTGGGGCGGGTGCGTGTGGTGTGGCACTGGTGGGGCAGGTACATGTGGCGTGGCACTGGTGGGGTGGGTACGTGGTTGCCCACTTGAGTCCTTGCCCAGCCAACAGGGCAGGTTGTGCTCCAAGACCAAGGAGGGAAGGAGGTCTGTCTGTCCTCTAGAAATCGTACATTGTAGAGTTTTCTTTTCCTTAGGGCAGGGTCAGGGGTTTGGACCCTTCTGGGGTTTATTCCACAACCCAGTGGGATGGCAGATGGGACTGGCAGAAATTTAGCCTCTGTAGAGAATACTCTGGGGCCTTTGGGAACAGGAATTCTGGGTCATCAATTGCCTTGAATTGCCCCCTTCAGGTGCAAGGCCTATGGCTCAGTGCCCCTCGCTCACCTTCAGCCCAGGACCTACTATAATGCCTCCTGGCAGGCTGTAGCTACCTCACCTACTCCCAGCCCCCAGAGTCCAGCCCCCAGCACACTCCCCCAGAAGAGGCGCCTACAGCAGACACAAGTCGAGCACCAAAGCACAACCACCACCACAACCCTCCAGACCCCTGCTGTTGCCTTCAGGCCTGGTATGGTTCCCAGAGCTCAGTCAGGAGTCCCCCATCCCGGCTATTACAATGGCCAAAAGCTTCAAGGTGAGTTTAAAACCAAACTTTTAGGGGGTGGGGTGAGTGGGTGTTCTAGGTTCTGTGTGCAAATGCAGGAATTACTTCTTTTCTTGTTCTAAACACCTCCCAGGACACCCCAATTTTCTCATCACATCCGGATAGCCAGGGGGTTCCATGTTCCATAGGTGGGGCCATACCACTCCTTGTTGAGTCCCTCACCTCTCCCACTACTAGCTGATGGAATCTCAGCACTCAGAACCCTTAGACCCTATGTACTCTGACTGTACCCAAATGCCAACTGCAAGGGTGAGATGTACCCGGCTGCATGAATCTGGTGGCGAAGCATTTGTCTACAACATGCATGGCCCCAGGTTCCATGCTCAAGTCCAGAAGAAACAACCGAAGCCCTCATAACCAACTCTCACTGCTAGGCTTTGACCCAAGCTCTCCTGTCGGGAGCCCTCTCTCTCTCTCTTTCTCCCAGACTCATCTTCGTAGTCTCTATGTCTAGGAAGCCTTATCTGGGATCTCCAGACAGTGACTGGGCACGGGGTGGGGAGGGTGTGGTTCTGTGGGTGACGTTCTGTGACTACAGGGGCAGAGACAAGAAAGGACCATGTAACCAAGCACGTGTACTGGTGTGTCTCCTGGATGGTGACAGGCGCGGGTGGGCTCCCTGGTGGGCCAGGCTTTCTTAATTACCACATCTGCCTCCAGGTGCCCACCGAGTGTGTCGAAGGCTTCAACATCTGGACCAGTGTGAACACCAGATCAAGCCCCAGGAAACCAAGTTCCACCTTCTCAACAGTGCCCAGATGCCCCTTTTCCATTGCAACTGCACCCGCCGGTGAGGCCTGCTGGGTGGACTTGGGGGTGGGCTGCCTGGTGACAAGACTGTGCAGGGGCACCTGGCAAGTCTCTGGCACGGCCTGAGCCTGCATCTACCTTCAGTCTGGCACATGCCCTGAGGCTCCACAGCCCACCTGCTGGCACCAGCAAGGTTTGGGAACTCCTGGGAACCACCTGCTTCAAGCTGGCCCCCCAACTCAACTGTGCTGAAAGCAAAGGGTGAGTGAAGGCAGAGCCAGGGGGTGGGGACCTTTGCCAAGGGCTGGGTTTGCCTATATAGAGAACAATTGTGTGCCTGGGACGAGGGGCCTGGGAAAGGGTCAGGGGGCTCTGAACTCCATCTGTAATCATTGCTCTGCTTCATGCTGTCTTGGGCCCAGCTTTGCAGCAGCCCTGGGTGGCCGGGGATGTATGTGCCTGGGCTCTGTGATTTAATTCTCGTTTGTCTTTGACAAGCTGATGTAGCTTTCCAACTGTCTACCACTTCCTTGTCTGTAGAATGCTATGGGAAAGCCAGGTGTGGGGTACGTGCCTGGAGTCCCAGTACTTGGGAAGATGAGGCAGGATAAAGTCCTCTGAGGCCCAGCCGGGTTAGGCAGCAATTTTAAGGCCAGTCTAGGATGCACAGAGAGATTCTGTCTCAAACAAACAAACAAACAAAAGATTTCAGGAGACAAGAAAATAGCAGATGTGCTGGACATAGCTCAAGACCTGCTTGATACAGAAATAGGGAAACTGAGGATCAATTACTGACTCAGGTTTCTACAACCATTCCATATGGAACCTAAGCCTCTGGGTACTAGCCTAGGTTAATTCTGCCTCATCTGGGTATAGCCATGCCCTCTCTGCCTTGCTGGTGTCTCTGGCCTCACACCTGCTCCTCTCTGGGCCTTGTAGGGTGGAATTCTGCTGGTTTTGACCCCTGCTCTCCCCACAGCTGTTCCAGAGACCACAGGGCCATCAAGGTGTCAGCTCAGCACCTGCAGAGGCTTCAGCGGAAACGACTCCATTTCTGGGATAAAGGCGCAGATGGGAGCATGGCACAGCCTCTGGAGCCTTCAGGGACTTCCTGGTCATTCTACAGCCAGTGTCTACAACTAACCCGCGCAATCTGGAGAGCCGGTGGACCGAAGACATTCCGGAGCTCATGACCTCAGGTGCAGCAGCCTGGACCTCCTTCTGGCTTTGCTATGTTCTGAGAAGCTTGGCCTCTTCAAGGAACAGCGTGACTCGTGTGGACAACAGGAGGGCCTGATGGGAGGAACCTCAAGGCCCAGACGCCGGGCCACATCCGCTGTACTGGGTGACCTGCAGCTGGTGACACAACCCCTGTGCCTGCGCGTGCTGTTGAGGAGGCGCCTTCTGAAGCCTTGGGTTTCGGCCTTGCTGGGAAACTTCACGCACTGGTGGAAACGGGGAGTGACTGTGGCAGAGGTACCAGAAGTAGGACCCGACTGTCCCTGCTGCAAAACTGACATGTCCCGGGACCTGCATCCGGGAGTCTCAGCAACTGGCTCTGAGGCCTAGAGCTGCAGGCGGGAAAACAGGGGTACAGCGGAAATACCCAGGTCTGAATTCAACATGGGGAGCATGCTCCCCACTCTCCTCACCGGAGACCCCCTTCTTTTAATAGCCCTTCCTAGCCCGAGCTAATCTTTCTGCTCTAACTCTGAATTGAAATCTCTCCTGTGCCCTTGAAGAGTTAGGGACCTCCTTCCTCCCACTCAACCTTAGTTTCCTCCTCTGAAAAAAAGGAGGTGTTTCTTTTTTTGTACTTGTTTTGGTTTTGTTTTTTGTCTGAGCCAGGGTTTAACTGTAGCCCAGGCTGGCTTCTGCTATGTACACAAGTATAGCTTTGAACTTCTGATCCACTTTCCTCTACCCCCAAGGACTGGGATTACAGGAGTAAGCCATCACGCCAAGTTTTATGTGGTACTGGAAATGGAATCCAGGGCTTCAACCTTTCCACTCTGAGTTGCTAAGCAAGCATGCAATCAACTAAGTTACACCCCCAGCCTGAAAAGGGGAGCCATAAACATGAACTATCTCACAGGGCTGCTGAGGAGTAAGTGAATTAATAAACACATATATAACCAGTAAACATTCTCTTCTTCTAGTGCGTAGCCAGACTGAACTGAGCTTTGCTGTCTGCTCTTGAGACCCTGAGGGGTCCTGTTGGAGATTTCAGTTTGCCCATCTGTGAAATGAGTCTAAGATTAAATGGGAGATTAGAGGAGATGACATGTTTCCATATACAGCTGGTGCCTAATATATGTTAGTTTTATCACTCCTCACATCCATAATTCCTCCCACCCCCATCTGCAAACTTCTCATAAGTCAGGAAGGAGCCAGGAGTGAAGCTGGAGAGTTTAATTCCTAATGGATGACCTCCAAGATCGAAACATCTGCCAGAGTTTTCCCCGTCATCCCAGATGGGGGCCCAGGCGAGGCTTTGCTGATTGTCACAGTTGAGGTGGTGCCAGGACTGAGTTTGGGGAGCCCCAGCTGGCCACTCCTGGCCAGGACAGAGTGGCAGGTGTGGTGGACGGCTGGAGCAGCAGCAAGAGAGAGGCAGGCAGGTTTGTGGAAGAGAGAGGCAGAGTGAGGCTGTCCAGGCCTTTCTGCCTACCCACGTCAGGGCCCCAAGCCCCCTTCTTCTAGGCCCAGTCGGCCCTGGGGACTAGGGGACAGGCTGTTAGGGTCAGGGGCCTCCCGGTCAGGTCTCCAGGAGCCTCCACCACCAGGGTCTACTGTCTCCAGGCGCAGCGCTGGAAGCAGGCCCAGGCTTCGAGGCACAGCAGGTGGGAATGCCCATTGGCCAGGCAGCCCAGAGGGCCCCTCCTCACTACTACCTCGGCTGCCACTACTGTGACCCCTGTCAGGGGTCACCCGAGGCAGCTGGCGGCTCTGGGGTGAGGGGCTCCGGCTGCCACCGCGGCGTTCACGGGATGAAGGGCGGAGAGCAAGACTAGGGAAGCGGGCTAGGCCAGGGCTGCGGCTACGGTGTCTCTTGGACTTGCCGGGGCTGGGACTGCGGGACTTGGGTGCGAGCAGCTCCAGAGTGCTGTCGTCCTCACCCTCCGAGCTGGTGCCGGAGCTGTCGGTGCTGCTGCTGGCCGATTCTGAGGTAGGCAGCGAGATCTGCAGAGAATACTGGCCACTGCGGCAATCCCACTTGTTAGCCTGCCCACTTTCTTCCCTCCATGTTGGCAGACCCAGAGCGGTAGGTAGGGTTACTGGTCTTGGGGTCCCAGAACAGAACCCAGAAGATGGGACATTTGACTGGGACTTCTTGATGTGCTTTGGCCCTAGAGTCTGATCAGTTTACCTGAAAGGGTTCAGTGACACCAATAAGGATGCTGTGGTGGTGGCTATAGTAACCCAGGATGAAGTCTCCATGGCCCTTGGGCAGTGATTCCTCACTGAAGGTCACCTGGTGGGCACAGGGGTAGAGGCCCAAGCTGGGGCCAAGGGGTAGGTAGCCTCAGGACCCCCTCCCCCAGGAAGAACCCTTGTGCCCCCGGGGTTATGGGGGCCTTCTTCCAACCCTCCTCTCCTTGTAAGTACCTGGTAGACATTCCCATCTACTTCTTCGTGTTTGGCCCAGACATACGCCACGTAGTCCTTGCAGTGGCGGAAACCCACCTAGGCAAAGAGGAACCAGGGTTGGGACACCCTAATGCTGCAGCTTCCCAGCAGAGCGTCAAACACAGGACAAGGCAGTGATACTCAGGGAGGCGGGGTTGCAGGACACCTCCTTCCTCAAGAGTCCCAGACTCTTGCTTGACTCACCCGGTACAAGCCAATCCAGTCCCAGGAGCTCCGGGCGAACACTGTTTCCATACGGTACCGCACCACAGCTTGCTCCGGCCGTGCCCACTCGTCTGCTACCTCCAGCCGTACCAAAGGCACGTCATCCCTGAAGGCAAACTGCCCAAGCAAGGCAGGGACAGGGGACAATGTCAGAGGATGCCCTTTAACGTCTCACATTACCTAGGGCTCTTGGGTAGCGACCTGTGTTTGTAACGATAGTCTTACTGGAGGCTGAGGCAAGAGGATTTATAATTTGAGGACAACCTGAGTGACACGGCAAGCTCTAGACCAGAATGGGCTACAGAGTGAAAAACTGTTCCAAAAACCTGGTAAAATCCAAACCAAACCCAAACAAGCAAAATTCCTGCCTCCATTCCGGGCCCCCTTTTACCCTTAGCTTTCTTAGGAAGTGAGTGGAACGGAGCTCTGAAGACAGCCAGTCTTAGATTTGGCCTCGGCTCAGCCATTGCCGGCTTAGACAGACAGTGGGTTACTTCCTCGGCTATTCTGAAAGGTAGGGCCTGGTCTGTAAACCCAGAGGCTCTTGTCTAGTTTTAGTTTCTTAAAAAAAAAATGTTTTACGTGTATGTTTTTGGCTTGCATGTGCGTCCGTGCGTGTACTATGTGTGTGTCTGGCGCCTGGTCCTGGAGTTACAGATGGTTGTGAGCTGCCATGTGAGTTCTGGGAGTTGAATCTGGTTCCTCTGGAAGAGCAGCCAGTGAATGCTTTTAATCACTGCGCCATCTCTCCAGCGCTCAAGGCTCTTGTTTTAGACCGGGATTGTACTGCTGATTCCCTGAAATGCAATTGGTAACAAACTGCTTAGGAGCTCACTAAAGAATCTACCTAAATGTTAGCAAGGGAGATGGAAAAAGCCCTGTGGTACGTAAAATTCCAGAATAAGCTTGGCTCCCTGGAGCCAACAAGAGCCCAGACCTCAGTTCATCTTCTAGCTCTGCCACCAAATTGCTGTGTGACCTCAGACAAGACCCTAGCCACCCCCAAACTCAGTTTCCCCCATCTGAATCTTACTATGAAGGGCCCACTAAGAACTGCCTTTGTCATCAGTCCAGGAAGACAAATTATAAACATGAGTGTTTTCCCCTGGGACCAGCCAGGACAACCAGAGAGTCACCTGACTAGGTGGAGTTTCTGCAGTGGCAAGCAGCCAGAGGACTGGCCACCTGTGTCCCTAAGAGCGAGCTCAGGTGGTGCCAGCCTCAGGCCTTTGTCTGGTCCCTGTTGGTCTGGTTTCAGGTTTCCCTCCCTCAGCTTCAGAGCCTAGCTGTTCCGGAAGAAACCAGTGCATTCTTTCCCTGTCCCGGGTTCCAAACAGAAAGGCAGGTTGAAATGTGCTCTGAGGCTTTGCAAGGTCAAAACCCCTGCAGAGGCATGATGGTCCTCATCCAGAACCCTAGTTCTTAGGTGGAGGCTAGAGGATCAGATCCCAGGATGGCCCTTGGTTGGAGGCCAGACCAGGTTACTAGGGACTCTGTTCTAAAAGAGGCAAGAACAAACAAACAAAGAAACAAAGAAATCTCCAACCAACCAAAACACAAGGCCTGTGAGATGGTGGCTCAGTGGGAGTCCTGGTCCTCAATCTGACCTGAGTTTAATCCCTGGAATTCACATTTGGGAAGAGAACACCAACTCCCAAAAATTGTCCTCTCACCTCTTCCAGGGAGTGCACACCTGTGCACATAAGTGAATGGAGTTTATTAAAGCAAGAAGCTGGAGAAGTAGACGGCTCAGTGTTGAAGAACACACTGTCTGTTCTCCCAGAGGACCTGGGTTCAGTTCCCAGCACCCCCATGGCAGCTCATAGCCATCTAGTTTCAAAGGATCTAATGGCTTCTTTGGCCTCCACATGTACCAGGTTCACAGAAACACACACAGTCAAAACACATAACGTAAATGAAGAGCATAAAGTAAACAGACTCGGTTTCTCCCAACATTCCAGGGCCTAAGGCATTAGGGATGGTGCATGCGAAGTGTCCGCGCACAGCCTAATGCAGAATAGGTATCTGGTAGTAACTGTGGGCTTTGTTTCTGAGACAGAGTCTGTACACCAGGGACTCCTGAAACTCACTGAATAACTCAGACTGCCCTTGGACTTGAAATTCTTCTGCCCCAGCCTCCAAAATATTGTAATTAGAGAAATTTGCCATTATGCTTGGCTCAATGGGTAATTTTTATTGTTGTTTGATCCAGGATCTTACTATGTATGGCCCAGGCTAACCGTGAACTCTCTTTCTTTCTTTCTTTCTTTCTTTCTTTCTTTCTTTCTTTCTTTCT